TCCGAATCTTCTTTGGGAGCAATGTATCTTTTTAAAATTTAAATTCCAGGATACCTTGATTGTTGCTTCTTATCCTGGTCAGCCAAAACTTTCACTTCTTAACTTCCTCCTGCACTTTCTTTTCCGGATGAGTGCTTCTTTGAGGCGGCCATTTCTGACAGCCGCTTGTTCGCCTTCAGGAAAGGGAGTTTAGCCAGCTGGGGAGGGAAGATGCGGCTTCCCTCGACCCTGCTGGGATCTCCCCTCTCTTTGCCACCTCTACGGGGTGGCTTAGCCCCGAAGCCAGACTGGCTCGGGACGCTCCAGCGGCGAGCCCAGGCAGAAACCGTGCATGATCGCGGATTCCTGCCTGCCGCTGAAGCCCTGCAAACCAGAAGTCAGGGAATGTAAATTCTTAATCCCATCAGCTGTAAGAGCTGTGGCTGAAGGCGTTTCATTTATGGAATATATTGGCTCATCTTTCTTAATAGGTATAAAATATTTACCTCTAAAGACTTGAGGCTTCTGCTCAAGGCTATTAAGAAAGAGTGGGGCAGCTTTCTGCCTTCGTTAAGATTTTCCCCATTTCTTCTCTGGGGAAATATAATTACTTCCTTTAATATTCCCCAATATTTCATTCTTTGGGAGGGGCTTCCCACAGTATGAATTTCCTTAATAAATAAATCCCTGTCAGCTTAAATTTATGTCAACTTTTTTTCTCATCAAAGAAAAAAAGTAGGATTTTGAACTATGGATTTGGAGACTGTTACTGAGTCAACACTGGCACCATGGGATATCATCAACCCAGTTTCATGAATTGCAATCAATTAGCAATGGATGTAATAAAGCTGGCTGTTCCCTTGAGGCCATGATCAGCAAGCAGAGAGTAACTTGCATTGGTTATTTGATGCAAATGGCTGACAGACTAGGGAAAAAAAAGACTTGAACTTGGTAAGGTTAAGCGAAGATAAAGGGAAATAAAAAGATCTGGCAGAAGATGGCATAAATTGGTCTCAGGAATGCCCTTGCAATTTTTACAAACGGCTACTGGGCAGATATTGAGACGGTGGGCATTATCCTTTCTAATTGTGAACTAAACTCAAATGAAACCTAATAATTTCAATTATGATTAATGTTAATATCTCTCAAAGCTTATACAAAATTTTTCTACATTTGGGAAACCTTTAAAATTGCTTTCCAATGAGCTTTTTTTAAATTCCAGCAGGGATTTCTATACTGTAGTCCTTGTTATTCTCGTGTATAATCTCACAGAAAAAAAAGAACATTACAACACATTTAACACATCTTTTTGTTAAATAACCCAGTTAAAACCGAGATGATGTTGCAATTGAAGCTCCACCCCTTCTGGAACAAATAAAGCAAAGATCATGATGTCATGGCTACCATCTTGCCACTGTACCCCTCATTTGTCCATTTGACTAAAGCTTTAAAAAGGGGATTTCACATTTTAAAGAGCAACCAGCTTTCTTAAAAATAAAAATAAATTTTGAAATGGGCTCATAATCTGAAAATACTTAGCCAAGGGCTTCCCTTTTCTTTAAATAAAGAGATTTGCTTTGATTGGACTGTGGAATTTTCAATCTCAGGTGAATTCTAGTTGCCTAGGCAGCAGGGGGAAGACCTCCAGTCGCCTTGGCAACAAAGTATGAAAACCTGAGCTGCCTATTCGACTAGTCTTCCCACTCAGCTTTTTAAAAAAGCTTAAGCAAGCCTGTTTTCTGGAGGCATATGGATGGCCTTTGGAGTGCTAGGAATGACTTGCAAATCATTTAACGTAGGTAGGTCTCTTTAGCTAGCAATCAAGTTAGTATGAAAGCAGGGAACCAGCAGCCAAAAGATTGGTGGAGAATTATTGGGTATTCTCCTATTGTGGAAGGGAGAAAATAGCAAAGGAGTGTAAACCACTGTTTATATGTTCTGCAGATTTGACATGAATGATGTGCTAGTCTATAAATTATGCTGTTTTCCATTGTTGGATAAATTTCCTTCTAGGTTCAGTTCCAAGTGGGGAAGAAAGACACTGGAAACATGGTTGCTTGGAAAGATTGTTTAATTGTGGACAGGACCATATGGCTTGGAACTCCAAAGTGAAAAGGACGATCACATGATTCAAGATGTTGAGAGACCCTTAGTTTTATACCCTCTCATGGGGCCACACTTTAGTGTTTCCTATTCCTGTGTAAGAAATGTATCCCATTAGCTGTCAGACTTCCAGGGGTGGGGGTCTTAGCTAACTTTGTCGGCTTTGTCTGGACCACACCTGAGCGCTGGCTGATGCAATCTTCCCAGGCCATGTGGTGAGATGGGTAGAGGGCTTTCTTATGTAGAATACTCTGCTCAGGTTTTGCTTCTGAGGTGAGATTCTGTTTCTGAGTTTCTACTTCTCTTTTAGGGGAAATATTCTGCCTCTTTAATGTATCCTAAAGTATTTCATTTTTCTAGGAGAGGGGTGGGTTATAACTTCCAACACCATGAGACAGATACAGGGGCTTCATGCCAGACATTAAAAATTGAAGTGCTGGGAGTGTTTTGGTTTTGCTTCTTCATGTAATTTGAAAATCTGTCTGGAATAGCTTTGCGACTGTGAACTAGCAAATCTGGTTACTTTGACAAAATTGCTTTTTAAAAATCATATACATATATATCAGCAGTGATCATATATAACTTCTTTGATATGTGCATGTTTGATTCTGTGTGTGTGTGTGTATGTGTAACACGTGTACACAAGTAGTCCCCGAATTAACAACAGTTCATTTGGTGAACGTTCAAAGTTACAACAGTGATGAAAAAAGGGACTGTAGAAAGTTAGCACCCACCCATCTCCTAGAAGAATGAAATATTATAGGAAGTATTAAAAAGGCAGAATATTATACCACCTTAGATGAGAAAAGGAGAAACATGGTCTTGGAAAGCAGCCCCCACCTTTGCTAATAGCCTCAGAAAGACTGAGCCATTTTATCTACAAGACAAAAGCCCTTCAGCTCCAGGGTGAGGACTTGCCCAAAGCCCCTTCATTACATCAACCAGCAAGATTCAAACAAGCTGGATTCACTTAATAAGCATGTTACTAACTTAATTCATTTAACAACTCTTAACACACAAGGTTGTAAAATGGGGCAAAAATCACTTAGCAAATGTTCGCTTAGTAGCAAATTTTTTTGGCTCCATTGTGCTCATAAATCATAGACTACCTGTATATATATTAGGAGAGAAAGGAGGAACTGAATATGTATAGTCCGGAGGACAGAAGAAAAGGGAAGGATAAGACTGAACCTTTAAATATATTAAGGGTGTGAATATTTCCTTATTGGAAATAAAGAGAAACTTTCTGACAGTGAGAACAATCAACTAATGGAACAGCTTGCCCTGAGAAATTGTGGGAGCGCCATCACTTGAGACTTTCAAGAAGAGATAGGACTGCCATCTGTCAGAAATGGTGTAGGGTCTCCTGCTTGGGCAGGGGTTTGGACTAGATGAATTGCAAGATCCCTTCCAACTCTGATTATCTGTTTTCTGTTAAGTTCTAGAAAGCCATATTTTCAATATTACACAAAAATCAAGAATACAGAGGCATGACCTCAAACTGACAGGAGGAAAGTTCAAAAGTCATGTTGGAAAGTATGACTTCACAGAAAGAGTAATGGAAGCTTGGAACCAACTTCCAGTGAAAGGAGTGCGTCCATCATCAGTAACTGAGTTTAAACATGCTTGGGATAAACACAATAAGAGCCGTGGTGGCACAGTGCTTGGAATACAACACTGCAGGCTACTTCTGTTGATTACCGGCTGCCAGCAGTATGGCAGTTGGGGTCTCACCGGCTCAAGGTTCACTCAGCCTTCCATCCTTCCAAGGTCGGTAAAATGAGAACCCAGGTTGTTGGGGGTGATATGCTGACCCTGTAAACGGCTTAGAGAGGGCTGTAGAGAACTGTGAAGCAGTATGTATATAAGTGCCATTGCTATGTCCACTATCAGACTTTTTTTAAAGGCCTTCTCAAATATAGAGATATATAGATATCAAGAAGTTGATACGTGATCACGGTTACTGTGTTCCTTGCCTGCTTTATAAGAATATGGATATTTTTACCTTTCTGGTGGGATGCAGATGTCATTCATTAATTTGAGCCTCCTAATAGTGTAGTCAGAGTATTCCAGGAAAAAATGCATATTAGATTCTGAGCCAAACCACCTGCTATTTTTTTTTCCTGAAAAAAAAACCCCTGATAATTCTCTGTAATAATCAAGTGGTTCCATTGCCTCCAGTTTCATTCTGGGCAAATGATCAGATATTTTCTTCTACTCAGAAATTGTCGGGATTTTGCCTTCCTGACCAAAAAACCCCTATGATATAAACGGTACAATCTGGCAAAAATACCTGTACAGAAGGAAGTCTGTCCTTCTATTCCATGGAAATTGTTCTGCTTTGTACTTAAAACTGTAGATATCTTAGTGGAAATGTTGGCTTGTATCTTTCCGTACTTGCTTCCAAAGAAGAGTTTCTTTTCTTCCAAATTTAATTCTAGACCTTTCCCTCAGCTGATTTTTTTTAAAAGAAAAAAGGGACATTTTTCTGATATCCATAAATATCAAATTCAAAAGACCACTGAAACTACACTTTTATTACTAAGCTCATTTCCTCCTGCTACTAGAAGTCATTTGAACAGAACAGAATTGGAAGGGACCTTGAAGGTCTTCTAGTCCAACCCCCTACTCATACCATTCCAGACAAAAGGTTGTCCATTTGAATTCAATTCAACCCAGGCTTAGCCCTAACTATAATCCTTTGTCTCCCTCAAGATTTTTTTTAAACTTTCCAGCCTCATCTACAAACCTGATATTTCCTGGTTGTTTCCCACCAAAGACCAAACCAGGTTCATCTTTGCTCAGCTTTTCAAGATCAGCCAAGGTTGATTAGGTACTTGCATTGTGGGCTCTAATATAGAGGATTCTTCCTTTTTGTCTTAAGTCATTATTGTGTTCTCTTTTTATCCCTCCACAGATCTAGATGCTCAAAAGCTGCCTTTAATTCCTGCAAAAGATGCAGGTGAGGTTCTTGACAAAGAACCAGAGAAACATGACCAAGAAGTACCGCCTGTGAAGGGTCACCAGAGTCTTCTGGTACTTCAACCTCAGATAATGACCAAGGTTCCTCGGGAGAATGAGCCTCCAAATGCTTCCAAATTTGAACAGTGCTATTTTCAAATCAACTGGCCACCAGCGGTGCTGCAAAGATGGGCCACCGAGAAGGCTAACCGGGAGAAGAATCTTAACCTAGTCTTCAACCAAGAACAAACCTTTAGGAATAGAGAACCAGAAGCTAAGAAAGGAGACCACCAGGAGAGCACTGAAATGGAATGACCACCTCAATGCTCAGAGGTTTAAATAACGGAATTATATTGGCTCTTGTTATAAGAATATACTCCTGATGTTACAGAATTGGTTCATTTCATTTCAGATCCTATTTGCAGGTTGTGTTCACCTTTAATAAAAGTTGATTCCCCTTGAAAGCTTTTTGTGGGGCAGCAGGAATGCTTTGGTTGGAAATGCATTTCTATGTTTTTGTAATAAACATAAAAACAGTCCTGGTGATAGCTCATAATCTAGAAAAGGAATGGGAAATCCTAAACGCTACTCTGTAGATTTTTCAACTATGAAGAGTGCTAGGAAGCATGATAATTACGCTGTGCAATCACCAGAAAGAGTGATCCTGAAATTTCCAGCTTCATTAAAATACAACATGAAACTTTACATCACTGCAGACGGATTTCACTAGCAAGATCTGAGGTAGTTCAGAAACATGCCACAATGGCACTGGGGTCTACATATAGTCCATAATATATTTGCCCTTATTTAGAATGAAACTAATCAAAATTGGTTGAAGCAGTCGGTGTATTTTTTTAAGTCCCAAAATGATCAGAAATTCCAACTTAAGGTCATTGTTTTTTAAATGGTTTAACAAAATATAGGATCTACAGAACTAGAACAAGCGAGGCTCCTGAAAGCATGGCTTAAGTTAAGATTAATCAGCCAGACTTCTAGCACTGTGGGGACTGGAAAGAGGAGAACCATGTGAGACTCTGATAGCAGGAAAACAAGTGAAATGAAAATCAGAAGAGTCCTTGGAGTTCCATAGTGAAAGTTGACATTTTTTTCAGGTAGTCTTCATCAAACCACTCATTTTGAGCCACTGTGAAGTGTTTTTTCCAGTCACCGACAGTCCCTGTAAGGCAGGGGTCCCCAACCACCGGTCCGCGGACCGGTACCGGTCCGCGGAACAAGTCCTACCGGGCTGCTGGCTTGCCGGGCGCCGCCATCTTTTTTTGATGAAAAAGTGCTTCCGGTGAGCTTTTCCGCGTAGAAAGCTCACCGGAAGCACGTTTTCATCAAAAAAAGATGGCGGCGCCCAGCTGATGCCGGTACCGGGCCGCGGCATAAAAAAGGTTGGGGATCACTGCTGTAAGGCAATCATACCATATAGTCTGCTTAGAAATTTTAAGTGATGCTTTCTACAAGAGCCTTAGAGGTAGTCAAAAAAGCAGCACTGGACATTAATTTCCTCTGAACGTATAATACTGCAATTATCATCAAGAGATACCTGCAGTAAGAATACAGGTAGTCCTCTACTTACGATCACAATTGAGCCCAAAATTTATGTTGTTAAGTGAGACATTTGTTATGTTCCATTTTACAACCTTTCTTGCCACAGTTGTTAAGTGAATCATCGTTCATAGCTTGCCCTCGGAAGTTGTGGGAGCACCATCACTTGAGACTTTCAAGAAGAGATTGGACTCCCATCTGTCAGAAATGGGGTAAGGTCTCCCACTTGGGCGGGGGTTGGACTAGATGAGCTATAAGGTCCCTTTCAACTCTGATTGTTATCTATTAGTAACACAGTTGTTAAGTGAATCTGGCTTCCTCATTGACTTTGCTTATCAGAACGTCGCAAAAGGGGATCACATGACCTTGGGACACAGAAGAAAAAAAAAATTCAGATGCTTTGTGTGCAAAGCATCTGAATTTTGATCACATGATCATGGGAGTGCTGCAAAAGTCGTAACTGTGAAAAACGGTCGTAAGTCACATTTTTCAGTGATGTTTTAACTTTGAACAGTCAACAATGAACTGATGTAAGTCGAAGACTACCTTTATCCTAATTAGAAGCCTTTGCAAATTCAGCCTTTTGAAAAACATTACAGTAGTCCTCAATATATCACCATTCACTTAGTGACCATTCGAAGTTACGACAGCATTGCAAAATGTGACTTATGAGGCATCCTTCCTTGCATATATAACTGATGCAGCACATGCATGTGATCCCCACATGCATGTGATCAAAACTCAGTCACCTGGCATCCAGCATATATTTACGATAGTTGCAGCATCCTGGAGTCATGTAATCACTATTTATGACCTTCCTCACTGGCTTCTGGCAAGTGAAGTCCATAGGGAAAGTCGTTTCAAGACCGCACAATTCACTTAACTGCAGTGATTCACTTAACAAGTGTGGCAAAAAAAAAAAGTTTGTAAAATCAGGTGTCGTTAATTTATTAATCACATTGCTTAACAACTGAATTTTTGGTTTCAGTTGTGATTATACGTCAAGGATCACCTGTACATTTTATTGATTGGCTCTTAATAATTTCATTTTTTGATTTCCTGAATGCCTAGGCCTGTGTTAATGACCTGTAATTTTGGATCCTAATAAATCATCATGGAGGAACACTCCAGTTCCTTACACACATGTTCCAAACAAAGAAAACCTGTATTTCTCTAGGATTCCTCTACAATTCTTGCAATGCAGGATACCTAAAGAGAGTTCACTTCTAGGGGTTGGGCAGAGGTGGTATTCAGCAGGTTCTGACCAGTTCTGGAGAATCGGTAGCAGAAATTTTGAGTGGCCCCGCCCCCAGCTATTCTCTGCCTCCCGAGTCCCAGCTGATTGGCTGGGTCTTCTTTTGTTGCCCTGCATAGGAGAATGGAGTTGGAAATCAGGTTAGTGGGATGCGGAGGGAATAGGGATTTTGCAGTATCCTTCCCCCAGGAGTGGGGAGGGAATGGGGATTTTACAGTATCCTTTCCCTGTCACGCCCACCAAGCCACGCCCACAGAACCGGTAGTAAAAAATTTTGAATCGCACCACTGGGTTGAGAGAAAGTGTACCTTTTCGCATAAATGGAAAAATGGATTGGTCCATGACGGACAGGGGTACATTCGCTCGGTTGATCATGGGGTTGTGCTTCATGACTTCGAAGGAGGTATGACGCACAATCTTGTCTAGGGTTGCCACGTCTAATTGCTTCCCTATAAATTGTGCTACCTTCTGGATTTCACGCTTTGGGTCCTGTGTGACATGGAGCAGAGATGGATAAAAGAGAAACAGAAAAGAACTGATCCTTAGAGTTCCATAGTGAAAGTCAAGTCAATATCCGACATTTTTTTTTCCAGTAGTCCTCATCAAACCATTCATTTTGAGCCACTGTGAAGTGGTTCTTCCAGTCACCGACCATCCCTGTAAGGCTATCACACCATATAGGCTGCTTGAAAAATTGAGTGGCCGAAGGCACCAACCACCAAGCCCCTCAAACTGATTCAAGTTGTGCCATGGTGACTTGACCACCATCGTTTTGCAACAGTGCTACCTCCTGGCTGTTCAAGAGAAACACACATGTTGACAACCCGCTAGCAACCCATCTTCATGCTAAAAAAAAGACAAGTCACAATAGGCAAATTGCAAAGTTTGGTCCAGTGGTTAAGACACCAAGCTAGAATCCAGAGGGTTGTGAGTTCTAGTCCCTGCCTTAGGCATCAAAGCTGGTTGGGTGACTTTGAGCCAATCACTAGGAAATCGAGAGTTCTAGTCTCGCCTTAGGCATGAAAACTGATTGGGTGACTTTGGGCCAGCCATTCCCTCTCAGTCCATTACATCAGGCTCAGGTGAAAAGCCAATTGATCAATTCCTGTCCCAACCAAAAATATAACACTCATTGATCTAAAAAAAAAAACACAAAAAAACAAGGCCAGCATTTGCAGGAAAAATGTTAAGAAGAAGAAAACAGTGCAAAATATCCAAGGCTACAACCCTACTTACTTTAAAAGTAGACTGAAAGAATGCCATGGCAGCACAGACTTTAACTCAAGCTCTCTAACACCCACGTTGTTTTCATAACATTTTCCAAGTAAGTGGGCATTGTTTCGAAAAGGGGAGATCTTTGTTACCCTTTAAAAAATAATAATAAAATTCTAGGATCCCATAAAGAGGAAAAAAACTTTTAGTTTTAAGGTCCCCATTTTTCATTGGATTACATAAAAATGTGCAATTTTTCATCTCACCTCACCTCACCCCTGCAGGAAAAGGAGCCATAGGGGCAGGGGGGGGGACCATGATTTTCCAGCCCTATTTCCATTCAGACTTTCCTTCCAGAACTCACTTTTTTAATGTCTTCATAAAAGAGATACAGGACATGGTAAGTATCTTTTGCTTTCCACCAATCCTTTACGTGATTGCACCAAGAGCCCCAAGCCACTGGAAGATATAGAACAGAGAAAGGCAGGAAGCTATCACATTCAGGGTGAAGATCCCAATGAAACACACAACAACATTATTCTTAAATGTTTGCGGAGGGGGGCTGCTCTTTTCCACTCAGACTCTGAAAACTTGGCCCCCAATTCTGTTGACATTCACCATAGGAAAGGTGGAAATTACATGCTTGTGGTCCACTGCATTTCTCATCATCACAGACTCAGAATTGGAAGGAGCCATTTTAAACTCCTTAAGCCTAATTTAAAAGTCAATTTGGTGTAATGCTTAAGGCAGCAGCTAGAAACTGGGAGACAGTGACTTCTAGTCCCACCTTAGGCATGAAATGTCAGCTGGGTGACTTTGCACCAATCATCAGGAGACTGTAAGTTCCAGTCTTGCTTTAGACATAAAGCCAGCTGGGTGAACGTGGGCCAGCCCCTCCCTCTCAGCCATGGGAAATAGGCAATGGTTAATCTCTTCCAAAATCTTGCCAAGAAATCTGGAGGGACTTACGGTATGTAGGCAGTTTCCAGGAATAAAAAAATGACTCTCTCTCTCTCTCTCTCTCTCTCTCTCTCTCTCTCTCTCTCACTCACACACACACACACACACACACACACAAGTCCAACTCACTTCTAATTGAAAGAATCCAGATTAAAGCATCCCAGGTTGATGTCTACTTAACCACTACTAGAACAGATCCAACAGAGCTGAGCTCACCTAGGCAACTGCTTTTAAAAGAGAATATTTGTAGCTCAGGGTTGAACTGGGCCTTTGTTGCTCTCTGTGCTTGGTTGTTTTCTTGCAAATGTTTCATTATCCAACTTTGCAAAAAGGAATTTGCAAATCCTACCCCTTTCTAGCACTGATGAGATTACCTAGTTGGGTAATGAAACTTCTCCAAGAGAGCAACCAAGCTCAGAGAACACCAAGGACCTGCTTCTACAATCATCAACCTGCCTTCACTGCAGATACAGATTTTCCACTTCAAGTGCAATTTACTTTATTGTAATGTAAGGCTTACTAATGGTATGCCTAATAAATATTTCCCACATGGAATCTGCCCTTTACCTTACTGAAATTCCCTACCTCCCAGTGACTTGGTCCTTTCAAAAAATGAGAAAGGGGTGCTTGGCTTACCCTTGCCTGCCATGAAAATCTTCAAATATTCCTCCCATGTTCCAGGATAGGGTAACATTTTGTTCATTCTCTGGAAATGGAAACAGGACACCAGGCAATCTTTGGGATTTCTTGCCATGTAAACGAACTGAGGTGAAAAAGCAGCAGAAGAAAAAGTCCCAGATTAAACAATAAGTAAAAGAAATATGTGCTTGCAGTGTTTCTCAACCTTGGCAACTTTGAGACACGTGAACTTCAACTCCTAGAATTCTGGCTGCGGAATTCTGGGAGTTGAAGTCTGTAGAGTTGTAATTGCAGGAATGTTCCTATCTCGGATGGCAAACCTCAGATAAAGAACGTTTCCAAGCAAGTACAACTCAGGCAAACAAAGTCACTATTCTAAAGGAGGATTAGAGAGAGGAAGTAAACATATGTTAGACTTTAACTAGAGATAATTAATTGTGTTAATTACTATTATACTAAACAGTAACAAAAGTTAAACAGTAACAAAAGTTAACTAATGTTGGAGGATAACTAAAAATGTGTATAAATGCAAGACTAGACTCCAATAAAGTTCATCATGATTCAGTTGATCATGATCAAACAACTCAACTGCCTCGTTATTACAACAGAAGTCCACATGTCTCAAAGTTGCCAAGGTTGAGAAACACTAGCATCAAGGGGAGGGGGGACACCCCAGAGAGTTCCTCCCTATTGCTATCATGCCCGTAACTCTTTCACTGCCATGCTCCACTTACAACACTAATTGAGTGTTAATGTCAGTTAAGCAATGGAAGGGTGAAAGAACTAATTATTGATCTCTGCTTAGGGCAGAGGTGTCAAACTGCTTAGATCTGGAAATAGCAAAGGACTGGTCTGTGGTGCCTCTGCTGGCAAAAATGCGGGGCTGGCCAAACGCCCCCCCCCCCCCCCGCACCCTGTTCTGGCCAGCAGGGTGCTGCAGGATGCCATATAGGCTGAAAGGGACAGGGAACACATCTCTTATCTGCTATCACATGAAAACAGATTTCTTGTTGAGACTGGGTTAAAGCCAAATGATGCCCTAAGCCAGGGGTGTCAAACTGGATTTCTTTGAGAACCGGATCAGCTCCGTGGGCTGGGGGGGGTGCGAGATGGGACAGATGGCATGCAGGACGGATGTCAGAGCATGTCTGGGAACTGTACTTTTATAGATTTGCTGAGAGCCTGTGGTTAGGCATCTAGCTGTCCCCCCTGCCCTGCTAAACAATTGCCCCCCAGACTTTTGTGTAGAAAAGGCTGGCTACCCAATGGCTAGAATGGCCTTGCCCATTCAATGAACGGGTGTCGGTGATGCGCAGAGGCTCTCTGACATTTCTGCAGGTCACCGCCTTGTTGAATCATATCCACTATCTCTTGTATCCAAATGGTACCTATGGAGAGAGCGAGAGATCAACATTCATTTATTCTGTGCTATGCATAAGCAATCTACTATGCCTGAAGGCCCTCAAAACAGGCTGAAGTCTGCAATTACGAACTTTTCATAATTTGCAGGTTTGCTGTCACTTCTGCCAGCCCCCACATGGGGAAAGGAATTCTGCAACTCAAGAAACCTTCTCTTTCATCCCCCTCAGAAATATTTAGGACAGCAGCATCACAAGAACAATTTCAGCTTGCATAGTAGCTAGGAAAGGCTGGTTAATTGGATTTTGCAAAGGATCACCAAACCAGATTAAATTCTTTCTGACAATGCAAGATCATTCTTGCACAATCTAATGGCTGTCCCAGGCTCTCCTGGAAAACCCAGCAGAATTATACTGCATCAATAATGGGATCTGTCCAAAGCCTTGAGGAGTATATTTTCCTCTATAGGTACCTTGCTATATATCCGCAAACTAGACATGACTTTGCTCCTAGATTCTTATCTGATTTGGGGTAAGTATGTCATTTGGCTTGGCTTCGGATCCGGTCCCATTCATTACAAGTGCTTTTGTGTAAGGAAATCCCTTCCACCTCACCTAGTGCAAGGCAGGTCTCCGATGTGAGAACTCTTCCTTGCTCCATGGATGTTAGCTAACAAATGGACAAGACAGGCAGTGTTGCAATGACAAGGCAGTCGAGGTGTTTGATCATGATCACATGAATCATGATGACTTTATTGGAGTCTAGTCTTTTATTTATACACATTTTTAGTAATCCTCTAACATTGGTTAACTTTGGTTGTTGCTCAACTTTTGTTACTGTTTAGCATAGTAATTAACACAATTAATTATCTCTAGTTAAAGTCTAACACATGTTTACTTCCTCTCTCTAATCCTTCTTTGCATTAGTGATTTTGTTTGTCTGAGTTGTATTTGCTTTTGTCCTTATCTGAGGTTTACCATCAAGATAATGACCTTCCTGCAATTACAACTCTACATATCCTCGTTTTTTATTTTAAATGGAGGATTCAAAGATTTATGAATGTATCGCAACTGTAAAGGAGTTAAAGAAGAGGAAGTAGAACAAAACAATGCAAACAAATTTGGAATACATTGAATAAAACAACAGGTTACAATTAGTACAATAATAATAATTATAACATAAAAGAAAAACTGTCTGAGCCAAGACCAATCAGTGAGCCAATTGGTTAGCCACTCAAAAGTGAGTACTGAGCATGGATATTATTTTGAATGTATGATTGTAGATTGGCAAGCTCATCCTCAATAGTTTTATTCAATGAATGAAAATGCACAGCACATCCACGGTGTCCAACTAACTTACAGAACCCGCCTTGACGGGCTAAAAGATAGTCTATGGCAAAATGCTGCTGTAAGACATCTTGATTTAAGTCTTCTATTTCATGCTGCAAATCACGAATAATAGCAGCAGTAGCATTGATGGATTTTTCAAGTCTGCAGGTGAGACCAAGAATAGATCGTCTATTTTCTTGAGCAATTATGCCAGGATAAGAGCCTAGAGTAATGACTCCTGTAACGGCCCCTGCCAATGCACGGCCAAATGTAGAACCAGAAGACAATTGTGTGTCAATAATAACTTCATCATTACATGTAGGCCCCAGAGAGGAACGCCGCTGTCAAGTTGATGGGAGTGTACCTATTTGAACAGGTAGAGTAAAATAACCTATAGCTGCACATTGATAATTCTGAGGATGCACATTGGTGGCATATTTATCAAAAAAGAACCACATATTAGGATCTTTAAGCTGCCATCCAGCGCATATCGATCCTGTATTAGAGTGATTAGAGGCATTAAAAATAGGAAAATTGTCAAGAGACATATCAGGAGCTATATTAATACCATACAAAGAAGAATTAAAGGTACCTGACAACCAATAGTAGTTAGAACAATAACTATAATTCCCTAGTTTTTTTTTATATGTGCTGAGCAGCATCATAATCAGACCAATTATAAAGCCAAGTATGTTTAGCATGACAACAGAAACACAGACCCCTTGTAAATTGACTAACTTTCAAGTAACGCCAACTGACAATTCAATTGCATAGGGGGTTTAGAAAATAGCCAGGAGTGTGAAATAGATTGTAGTTGTGAGACAATAAATGTAGAAGACATGATCAAGTTAGGGGTAAAAGAAATTGGGGGCTCATAGTATAAAGTAATATTTGTGCCATGGGTCATAAACATATATTGTGCATGATGAACCCACAAATTAGGATTAAGACGAACCACAGAAGTGTCATTTTGAGCAGAAACACCATTAACCATAAACAAGAAAATACAAAGTAAAATTGTAACAGAATTAGCAGTAATAATAGCAAAAACAGCAGCAACAAGATTTTCAGGAGTCTGAGGTAATGAGGCCTGTTGCAGTTGTTGTTGAGCTTGATATGTAGTAGATTTAACCTGTCCCCAAATGATGGGTTGTGGGTGCTTCAACCTTGGAAGCCAGACTTCTGTGTTCAGATGAAGATTGAAATCCAGAATCAGGTTGTGAAGGCCCTGATGCCATGCCATGATACAGACAAACACAGCGCACTGGAACCCACACTGCTTGTCCAGTAGAAGGATCTTCCATGGCAGCGTAACCACAACCCCAGGTGATCAGCAGTGTAGGGCCTTTCCAGGTTGGATCTGGAGCTTGGCGATACTTTACCAAAGGCCTTGCTAAAGATTCAGTAGTTTGAAAATGTAAATTAACAGGTGAGTCTGCAAGAGAATCTAAAAAGGTTAAATAATTCCAAGTATATAATGCTACAGCAATGAGATTTTGAATCTTTCGCAGATGGTAAGGGCCAGACTCAGTTTGTAATTGTTTTTGAAGCAATGCCTTAAAAGTACGATGAGCTCGCTCAACTATAGCTTGACCCTGAAAGTTGTAAGGAATTCCGTGCACTAAAGTAATATTCCATTTCTGACAAAAGGTTTGAAATTCCTTACTAATATAAGCTGGGCCATTATCAGTTTTCAACTTGAGAAGGCCAACCCATTACAACAAAAAAGGATAGGCAATGAGAAATAACATCTGAAGTATGTTCATGTTTTGAAACAGTAACCCAAAGGAAATGTGAATGAGTGTCAATAGACGTATGAAGATAACAGTATGGCTTAAAGGTTGAAAATTGAGTTACATCCATTTGCCAAATTTGATTAGCTTGAGTTCCTCATGGATTGACACCCACTGGAAAGGGAACTTCCAGTTGCTGACAAGCTGAACAAGCACGGACAATATCCCGGGCTTGAGATAATGAAATTTTAAATTGCTTTGCAAGCGATTTGGCAAAATGACTATCAACAGGATCAACAAACAAAGACACAACATCCTTTAAGGATTAATCTGCCTTCTGATTTCCTTCAGTCAAGGCATTAGTAAAGAGAGTATGACTCCAAATGTGTTCTACATACAAAGAATACAAGTGAGTTTCCAAACTATTCTTTAAAGATAAAAACAAGGATAACAAATTCTTATCCAAAGAGAGAGCACAATAAGAAAAAGGAAGAGATTGCATAGCTAAATACACATATTGAGTATCAACAATCAAGTTAATAGGTTGGTCATTGTAAAGCTAAAATCACAGCAGCCAGCTCAGCACGTTGAGCTGCTGCGTGGCAGTAAATTTAGAATAGCATTGTTGTTGAATCTGCCAGACGACCACACCCCTTGTTGGTGAGCCATCAGTAAAAACTTTAAGAGCTTTAGAAATAG